AGCAGCAGCAGCAGCACCAGCACCAGCACCAGCAGCAGCGCCAGCAGCAGCGCCAGCAGCAGCGCCAACACCAGCAGCACCAGCAGCAGCAGCACCAGCACCAGCACCAGCACCAGCACCAACACCAGCACCAGCAGCAGCAGCAGCAGCAGCAGCAGCAGCAGCACCACCACCACCACCACCACCACCACCACCACCACCACCACCACCACCAGCTACGAAAACTTCTACCAGGCTACCACTACTTGCAGCGCAATGTCACGCAGGGCAGTGAAGACGCAATTTGGCCAGGCCTCGTTCCTCTCCCACCCCTTCCGCAGGTGCTGTCCGGGCTGATCAGAGCGCATCGCTTCACGATGCAACTCCACAACCTCCTGGCAGGTGCAATAGAAGTTCATTACTTGTCAGGGGCTACGGTATCTGACCACCCAGGGATGGGCTGATGGAAAGGCTGTACCCGAAGGGGCTTGCTTCATGCTGCTTATGCCCTTCAGAGTAGAGTTTCTACAGCAGCCCAGCTCCAAAAACTAAGATCCCTAAGCCCTTACCTCTTATGTTATAAGGAACACGCCCCACCTGAAAAACCTGGTGGTCGGGATGAGTCCAGGAACTCTGGCCACTAACCTTCGGCGGAGAGGAACAGGCTAGGGCAGAGGGGTCTACATTTTGGATCATACACAAATTGAAAGCGGTCCTACGTAGGGATTCTTATAGGGAGCCTCTTTTGAGAAGCGTCTATGTGCCAGCATGAAGGACCATCATGAAGGAGTATGGAAGAATTGTGTAGTCTCTCCTTAACTTGGGGATCTTGCAACCGGATTCTTGTTTATGCATTCATCTTGGTACGCATCCACATTGAAGAGCCAGGCCTCATTCCAGAAATAAGCCGCTGATCTCTCCTCCTGAAAGAATTCAAGAAGGTCCAGGTCTGAAGGGTTTGATGCGAGAAGGACTCTGCTTGGGCAGCCTGTTACTGTTGTTGGACGAGAGTGTGTAGCACTGGCATGACTTCCAAACAGTTGAAATGGAAGCACCTGCGCCAGTCTTGAAGCACACTCCGCCAAATCAGGATAAATGACGAAGATCATGCACAAGTCCGTTCATGCCATTGCAACTGCTGAAATGCGAGTATGAGGCACTTATTCTGCTTGCAGCACTACACACCTCCTCAAGGTCCTGGAGTGGTTCTCAAAATTACAAACCCTCTTGGCAATGGCTATTCTAGCAGTTACACGCATGCAGGGGGCTTCGTTGTTTGTGATGTTTTGGGAGCTACACGGGCTATTTATTTCGGGACATTGACGCTCTACGGACGATCCTTCATGAGGGTCACAAGGTGCCGGGCAAAAAGGAGGTTCCTTGCCATTCCTTGTGCTGTGTGAATGCTTTGTATGTGGACCTTGGGTTTATAAACCGGCCATGCAAGAAGTTCCATAGCTTACAGTGGCTCCCCAACCAGTTCGCACAACACAGGCACGCAAAATGCAACATCATCTTGGCAAATGTCAATTGAATTGTGTTTTTGGTGGTTAAACCTAGTAAGATTATATCCCTTATATAAAATACCATACCCCAAAAGGAGGATATAATCTTACTCTATGATGGGTACCATAGTATCCCTAAATTAAATACTACTCAATTCGCAGTTTCCAGTCTGAGAAGCAAAGGTGCCTCCACGTGTATCGACCATCCTTCTGGGAGTCCTCCCTTGAGGTGGATGGAGAGGACGTTAAAAAGTTCTGCCTGCGGTGACTACAATCGCTGCTGCTGGTTTTTTCGTGAGTTTATGGATTAAGGGGTTGGTGTTTAGGGCTCATAGGGGATTCTAAGGCAACTTGGAAACAGGGAACACATGTAGCAGAAGCTGTTCCCATGGACTGCCCCCCCCCACCCCCCGCCTCACGTTTTCGATCCACGCCTAACAGTCGAGGGTAGTCCGATGCCAAATCAACCTGACCAAGGCATTGCCGTCCACCAGAACTGCAATAATCGGTTATATATGGATTATATTATATGATATATAGGGATTAGTACGGGGATTATATAGGGATAATGGAAAAGAAAATTGAAACTGCTGTTCTAGGGCCCAAAAGTGTTCCCCGCCCTCCCCCCCCCCGCAAATAATGAATATTCCCATAACATGTTCATTACCAGGGGCGTGGGTGCGCTTGTTACTGGGGGAAGGGGGATTACAAGCCTTACCCTGCCTCTGCAAAGTCAGAGGCCGGTTCTGCATCAGAATCGTCATCCTCGGTTCGGGAAGATGCCATTCCACTTTGAAGGGGGGGGTCTGAGGCTACGTGGAACCTCTGGCTAGGGCTTCAAATAGATTCAAGTAGGTAGTATCTATAGACATTAGGGTTTAGGGTGGGCATTATTTATACGCTTATGCTGATCTCTCAAGGTCAGGCACTGCGAGGGTTGCAAACAACTGCATGCTTTCTGACCCCAAAACACTTTCCTGCTTAGCAAGACAAAGAGTCTAGCTAAAGGCCATGATTCATGACTACCCGAATCATTGGAATTCTTCTGGGGGGCATTTCTCAATGAACCCTACATATCACTACAATCCTTACGTGGGACCTGGTAGAATCACATATATCAACCTCATACACTCGAATGTCCCGAAGGGAACCCCTTGCTACAAATCCCCATAGCTGCAGCATAGAGTCAGGGTCCAGGGCTTCGGCCATCACCCCGCGGCCCCTGCCTACGCTCTTGAGCAAAAATGCTCTGCCAGCCTCAACGATGGAGGTCCGGGCATGTTAAGCACCTGACGGATTATCCTTCTTGTTCTGATGAGGAAGATCGTTGGCATACTTAGTCTGCTTGCATATGCTTGATTGGTGTTGCTCCCTTCTTTCCGCTCATCAGTTCAAAGCCCCTTTCAACGCCTTCTGAGAATGAGCCTGCGTTCTACAAGCTCGTAGCGATGATATCTGCTCCCTGAAAGCATGAAGAGCATGCATTACAAGCCATCGATGCTCCAGACCGCGTCCTCCCGCATCATGCCCATGACGCGGAAGGATTCCTTGACTTCGTCGGGGTACTCGAAGTTCTTTGCGATCAGCTGTAGGTCCTCTACATTGCAGGGGATACTATCATTACCCACACCCGCCCTATTTGCCCACAGCATCTTCATGTTACGTGCGCATCCAAGCTCACAGCATCCGTATAAATACTTCCACAACTGCAAGATTGCTGTTATTTACAGCGAAACCCAGAATAACGTTCATTTCGACCACATCCNNAATCCATGCCGGCATCCATAATAATCTTCACTTCACACACATCCACAACCACCAAAACACTGCTATTCGCAGCACATTCCGATGAGCGGGCATTTGGCGCGGGCAAATAGGGGAGGGGGGGCGTATCATTATCATCGTTGCTTGCCGGCAAGGCTGACAGTGCTGTGATTGTTCTTTCATCAGGACAATGCCTTACCGGCATCATTGCTACTCTCGCAACTGCAAGCGCTGATAGCAAGAATCCTGCCTGACCTTAATGCCCCTGAATACGAAAAATCCCAAGATATAGCGTAGCGGCTGTAGCGCGGTAGTGTCTTGCAGGGTTGGTTTAGTAAGCTTTTGCAAGCTTCAGCAGGGTGCTGCTTCACTCCCTGTTACCAGAAATGCCACGAATTTCTAGACACTTGATTCACTCTTCTACGTACACAGCCAACAAGAATACCTGTTCTCCTGTTGTGTAAATCGGGGTTAATTCATCAGAAGGGGGAGTGGGTTACTGCTGATCCTAGAACACGAACCTGCCTGACCCCTAAACCGGAAACTACAAGTCATACCCCTTACCTAGCCTAAATCCCTTTACCCCGCACCCTAAACCCAAAATCCCTACACCCTAAAAATCCCTAAGCCCAAAATCCCTACACCTAGAAATCCCTAAGCCCCAAATCCCTGAACCCTAAATCCCTGAACCCATTGAAGCTGCCTGTAGCTCCGAGGTCTTCAGATCAAGGTATTCCGTCACCTGGGCTCTGCTTTGAGAGACCCTGGAGTGTAGGGTTTAGGGTAAAGGTATAGGGTTCAGGGTTTAGGGTTTAGGGTTTAGCGTATACGCCCATTATAAGCCTGTTGTAACCCATTCTAAGTAGGTTTACCTAAGCCATTAGTAACTCCAGGGTCCCTCAAAGTGGCTTTCACACCCGACTCAGATGTCCCCAACCCAGCAAGGAAGGTTTGTTTAACCCCTCCGACTTTTGATGTCTGCACGACGGCAAGGGGAGCAGCCATGGTTTAGGGTTTACTGTAGCGTTTATGGAATTTAGAATTTAGGAATAATGGACTTTAGGGTTTAGGGTTTAGGAATGCAGGAGCTTAGGGTTCAGTCGAAGGGAAAATGAAATTGAAGCTAAATCTTTTTCGCGGCTTGGGGCTTAGGGTTCAGGAAACATAGTTTGTAGGTTACAGTGGTATATGAGATAGGGACATTATATATGACATTTCAAGGCTAGATAGGAACATATTGGGGATTATGGGGTGTAGGAGTAGTGTAGGAGTAGTGGCCAGAATTATGGAGAACCAATTGGAATGACAACGGAATGTTAAAATTGAAGCTGGGGGCTTACCTCGGACTTGGTATATAACCCCAACCCTAAACCCTATAGAACCATCATGTAGGGGCCTAGTGGACTAGAATCGGGCTTTAAGGGGTACCTTATACTATCTTCATGCAAGAACTGTGGAGGAAAACACCTTGTTGATGGCTCTGGCTTCTGCATCATAATCGAAATGCATCGGGACCCTACTAGAAATACCTTAGGTGGACCCCCCACCCAGCAATAGTGACTATAGGGGATAATAGGGATTATATTAGGGTCCTCGTATATTCCTATTATACCACTATTACAGGGTGGGGGGGGTACTCCTAAGAAATACCATTAGTCCTTGTAGTCAGGAGGACCCAGCTCCGTTATGGCTGTGGCTGCAATCACAACAGCCACAGTAGGGAACTTTGTGGACTCATTTTTGGGCTGCCAGTACAGTTCTAACTTCATGTGAACGTTCAAGAGAGGCTTTACAAGGGCTTCCAAGATAAGCCTCGCTGAAGTTGAGGTTAAGCCGCCACCCAAAAAATCGTGACCCCAGGGCGGGACAGTAGTGGTTTAGGGTTTAGGGTCCGAGTCTTGGAAAACCCGCGTAGACTTCATGAGACATTCATAAATCTACTACCGGGCGGGTCGCATAACCCCTGGCATGATAGTCTGTAGGGATGGCTTTGAATGGGCAAATGAAGTAAAATCTTTTTTGGAGTCAGCTTTAAACACCTCAGACCTTTCTGGGAACTTATGAGGGTTAATAGGAGGCACTCTGGGATCCTGTCTATTTGAAGCAGCCTTTACCATAAGTATATAATGAACCTTTGACCATCATATTGGCATATCGAGGCTTCTACGGCACTCTGCAGGCAACTCTCTCAAACTATGCGATCCGAATCCAATGGAAGTGTAGCCCATCCAACTCAAACAGCTTGCATGGCATTCAAGTATGTTTAGTCCTTATACAGGTGTGTACCAATTCAGCGCGGGCCACTTCCCAATCCAATCTGAACCGTAGGCCCCAACACCCCAAGATAGCAAACTCCAAAAAAACTCTGAAATGAATGGGTAGGACCTTGTGGTCCCCAAAATATTCATAATGGTCTGGAGGAAAAAGCAGGCCATCCCCCTTTCTGGGACATCCCCAACTAACTGCCAAGCAGGCAGCCGCTTGAATGCGCTGGAAGGCCAGCTCCACGCCAGATCTATAAAAGTAGTACCTTCTAGGGGATATATTGAGGATTCTAGGGAATATATTGAGGACATATGGGGAGAATGGATAAGAAAATGGAAACTACTACTTAGTAGTTGGGGTAAAGGATTTCAGGATAAAAGTAGTACCTTCTAGGGGATATATTGAGGATATATTGGGATAATGGAAAAAGAAAATGGAAACTACTATTTAGTGGTTGGGTAAAGGGTTTCAGGATAAAAGTAATGCCTTCTAGGGGATATATTGAGGACATATTGGGATAATGGAAAAAGAAAATGGAAACTACTATTTAGTGGTTGGGGTAAAGGATTTCAGGATAAAAGTAATGCCTTCTAGGGGATATATTGAGGATCTATTGGGATAATGTGAAAGAAAATGATAAGTACTATTTAGGGTTTGGCGTTTAGGGTCTAGGATTTCAGGATAAACGTGATACCTTCCAGCTCAGTGACTTTATTAAACCCCCCCCCCCGGGGCCAACCCCTAGCTTGAAGTAGTCCCCATATGAATAGGAATATTCAATACAGGGGGGGAGTTAACACTAGGGGGAGGGGAGTAATTTGATACTGAAAGGATCCCCGAAATCGTCTCATAGTCTCTGCATTTCCACTGGGCCGCTGGGGGCAGCCTATTCCGAACAACACCCCCCGCCACGCATGATCAGGGATGGCACCTCTTAAGGATTGTCTAAGTCTGGGTTATGTTTGCAAACTGCTCACTCGTGGTCTCCGATGAATAGGAGGCATGAAATGCGTGTCCAGCACACATTGTTTTTTTATTTGATGCACCGCGTACATGCACTTCTCATTCCTGGAAGCTCTCAACCCCAGCTGCCCATACTTGTTGATACCGGTATGATCTGTAGTCAACAACTTGCAGATGAGCCCGGTCTAGGTTGTTACACAGAACCAGTGGTGAATGGTTTAGCTTCTGTTACAACGGCCTTTTCTGCCCACAGAGGGTGGGATCCGGAATGTCTGTATATGGTTCAGGACTTGCGATTTACGGTCTAGAGTTTGGAATTTCGAGCTTCTGTTCACGGTGAATTCGTGAATACCCGAGGCTGGCCCTATAGCCCTTCTGACTCTCCCCCCAACTTGCCGTATATTGGTTACCGAAAATATCAGAAAGCGTTGCAGGTTGCAACCCCCATCTACGTACGTACGTCCCACGCCCTAGACGTGAGACTCTACATTCTGAACCATACACACTCACCTAAGTCACACAGCTCGGGCACGCTTCCTTCTTCAGCCCAACATGGTAGGACCGAAGTGCCTGCTCAAACTCAGCGATCTTGGTCCTGGGCTGCTTAAAAAAATGTTAGGCGCTTCTCCCAAACGGGACCCTGAGGATACCTTTCAAGAGCTTATGAGGATGTAGTGGGGGCTTATTGTTCAAGGTTTCGGGCTTGGGGGTTAGGGTTCCCTCACAATCCCCTCGTACGGTTTTGATGGAAGCCGCAGTTGGTAGAGTCAATTAATCCTGCCTGTCCGAGCCCCATGTCTAGATCTTTTCTGTCAACGCGCTCTTTTGCGCGAGTTCAGGGTTTGGCCTGGGGCTCAGAGGTTAAAGAGTTTAAGGCTTGGGGGTAAAGTGGTAGGCCATGAAGGCAAGCAAAAGTCCCAGCGTCTTTGTCTAAGCACTTCTCAAAAATGCAGCCTACGCGCCCTCAAAAGCGGGGGGGGGCTGCGCGTAGGGGCCCGCACTGATGAAGAACGCCTTGAGAATAGCCCTGCGCCGTCTCGATATGCGCCGTTACTGTAAGAACCGCCAAGGAGGAATGACCCTATAATCCACATAGAAATTCTTGAATACAATCCTTGTGTAACCAAAGATAATTCAGTCAATGTCCTTCAACCCTATATGAGGCACGGTCTAAATTCCTCGTGTGGGGCTTGCACACTCGATTTTGGTGAGTAGCC